CACTCTGAATCGTTGTTGAAAAGAGCCTTGACGAATAACGTGTGGATTTTCGTCCGACCACACATGGGAATTGTGAACATTTAGAACACCATTTCTGGTAAAACAGCATTCATCCGTTACCAGTATACTGTCCGCAAAATCTGCTTCTCTGTTGGTACGATTTAGTAGCCACTCGCAAAATTGCAACCGCAAAGGATAGTCAGCGGGAGTCAGTCCTTGCACTTTTTGAAAATGATAGGGGTGTAAACCGTTACTTTTCAACGTACGCCAAACAAAATTCTGGGATACCTCGAGTTGGTGAGAAATTTGACGAGTACTCGTGCTTCGATCCGCTTCCACAATTTCTAGAATTTCTTCTTCCACATTCACTCCATGTCTGTTTAGTCTACCGCCACCAAGACCTTTCTTAGGTTGCAAATTTCCTGTCTCTCTTCCCCGCTGGATTAACCGAAGAAAAGTGTTTTCAGAAGGGATCTGTCGATTTGGATATCGTTCTAAATACAGACGTCTTGCGTGTGCAGCGTTTTCTCCAGCAGCTCCATAAATAATAAGCATATCTACGTATTCTTCGTTACTGTACATTACCATTGTATTTTTTGATTAGTAAAAATTCTAATTTTGACGTTAAATGACATTGATTATTAAAATTAAATGACATGTCCGTTGCTAGGTAACCAAGTCAACTGGATTGACAGCAATAAAAACATGGTATCAGCGGTTCTCAAAAAACAAACACCAGTTTTTGAGTGATTTAACAAATTTTTAAATAGCCGTAACTGCCATATTACAAAGATTTTATTATTGGTGCTGGGCAAATTAATTCAACTTTAATGCTCTATATCTTTGTGATTATTACGTTGTAGTCAAAACATTATTAAGAAAATATCTTCAGTTTGGCCCTTAGTACTTGCTCTTTTAATCTGCTCCGTATGTTATAAATCACCCTGTATACAGGTTGCCACACAAGAACGCCGCTAGCTGTATCTCTGTCATTTACCTTCCAATTTTCATGACCTAGCTATCAAATGAAATGGTTTCATGAATACTATGATTCATGCTACAAATAAACTTTTTCCAACGCCATCTTCAATTTCTAGCTTATTCTAACGCCATCTAGCAATTTCTAGACTATCAACATTTGATTTTCTAATTGCTCGGTATGTTTTTCTTCACGCTATTGGATAGAGTTTTTTTTCTGAATCCATTAATGTACAATACATCAACATTAATTGAAATTATAGCATAGAAAAACATTAAAATAGTTTCTAAACATTCTCTTAAAGTCACTTGTGTTAATACTGTAGTGTGCCATGGGATAAATGAAAAACCAATCATTTACAACTGCTTGGGCATTGAATATTTTTTTCCATGGCACACTGCAGTATTACAGAAGTGACTAAGACAATTGTTTTAATTGTTTTTCTCTGCTAAAATTACAATTAATGTTAATGTATTGGACATCAATGGGCTCAGAAAACAATTTCTATCCCATAACGTGAAGAAAAACATACCGAGCAATTTAAAAATCAAAAGGGCGTTGGAAAAAGTTTATTTGTAGCATGAATCATAGCATTCATCAAACCATTTCATTTGTTGCCTCGTTCATAAAAATCGGAAGGTAAATGACAGAGTTACAGCTTACGGCGTTCTTGTGCGACAACCTGTATATACAGGTGTCTTTTTTCTGCTAAAATTACATTCAAAGTGGATGTATTACACATCAGTGAATTCAGAAAAACAATCTCTATCTAATGACGTGAAGACAAATACAGGTGTCTCAGCGAGACCGGTCATTAGACGTTTCTGGGGTTCTGGCCAAAAAAAAAATTTGAGAATGCAGACTTAAGTATTATCAATTACGATCTCTTCGTCTAAAATATTTTCAGATTTCTTGCACTTCCGGTTATACCGGAAGTCGCCACCAACTTTATTTTTTTAAATGGAACACCCTGTATATTTTTACATATTTGGATTTGTCTGTTTTCAAGGTTTATAAATAACTTTACTTGTTGCAATTTGATTCGGTCGTTCTCGAGTTATTCGAATTTTTCTAGAAAAATCTGCTCCAGCAGACATTTGTGCAAAAAATCAGAAAACACTCAATTTTTGGGATATCAATTTAAGCGATTATTAACTTTTGTTTTTTAAATTGCTCCATATACAGGTGTCTTAGCGAGACCGATCATTAGACGTTTCTGGGGTTCTGGCCAAACAAAAAATTTGAGAATGCAGACTTAAGTATTATCAATTACATTTTTAGCACATGCTTAAGCAACACTCTCATGGATTGAGAACATGCTTAAGCAACATGATGGAGTATGTTTTGGTGCCGAGAACTACGATCTAGAACGTTTGATCACTTTACTATGGTACGTTAACTTTCCAAAATTTGGAAGTACCATAACTTCATTTTTTTAAATGGCACCTCCCATATTTTATTTTTTAGTCGTCTTCGGTGTCTCATTCTACATCTTTTATATCCCATATGGCCCATACCTAATATTAATAGTTTGGGAGATAATTAGGGTTTTTTGAAAAATGCACACATATCATATGGATATTTAGCCTAGTGTGCCATGAAAAACAAGCCTTCTCAATGAGTTCTTGTCAAAGACTCACTTGTTTACGTCACTTGATGCATGTGAGCTAATAATTATCTGTTATGTCCCTTAATATTAGTACTGAAACGAGTTAAAATCGATAACAATAACGAAAGTAATATTTACACAAATCAAGAAATTCTTAATTTATTTTTTTTGCATGAAAAGCGCGACAAAGTTCGTAGTATGATTCCCAGATCTTCTTTGGCAGCTCCAATTGAGGTGTTGGGACTGGGCTCGAAATAAACCAAGGTATTCACCTCTTCCGTTGCATTATCTACTACATTTTTTGGCCAGTTTAACACGTGATTAATTCGTCCAAAATGCAAAAAATTTGCTTCTATTCCTCTAAATTTACCTTTTGTCATCGGAGATAAATGTGGATAATTTTCATTAAACATTCTGCAAGTTCTACTAAGAACTTTGTCGCACTTTTCGTGCACAAAAAATAAATTATGGATTTCTTCATTTGTATAAACATTATTTACGTTATTAATATCCATTTTAACTGGTTTTAGACTCACAAGCATCAAACAACCTAAATTAGACTTTGACGTTTATCAATAAGTCATTAAACATTTGTTTTCCATGGCACACTAGGTTAATATCCATATGATATGTGAGCATTTTTCAAAAAACCCTAATTATTTCTCAAACTATTAATGTTAGGCATAGGACATATGGAATATAAAAGATGTAAAATGAGACGCCGAAGACGACTAAGTAATAAAATATGGGGGGTGCCATTTAAAAAAATGAAGTTATGGTGCTTCCAAATTTCGAAAAGTTAACGTATCATAGTAAAGTGACCAAACGATCTAGACAGCCGTTCTCGGCACCAAAACATACTCCATCATGTTGTTTAAGCATGTTCTGAATCCTAAATTGATATCTCAAAAATTGAGTGTTCTATGATTTTTTGAACAAATGTGCTAAAAATGTAATTGATAATACTTAAGTCTGCATTCTCAAATTTTTTGTTTGGCCAGAACCCCAGAAACGTCTAATGATCGGTCTCGCTGAGACACCTGTATATGGAGCAATTTAAAAAATAAAAGTTAATAATCGCTTAAAATTGAAGATGGCCTTGAAAAAATTTATTTGTAGCATGAACCATAGTATTCATCAAACCATTTCATTTGATACCTCGGTCATGAAAATCGGAATATAAATGACAGAGTTACAGCTTGTGGCGTTTTTTGTGTGACACCTGTATAAGTCATAATTGAAAGAAATTTATATTGTAGTAATAATTCGTAATAACGTAATTATAAATTTTACCGTCCCTTTATAGTCATCTCAAAACAAATAAAGCCAACCGACAGTAAATTTACAAATTTTCCTCTGTGTACATACACGTATGGTAAATGTATGTGGCGCGTAATTAGAACATTTGTAATGTTGTCCTGTTGTGTAATTAGCGGACGACAAATAGCCACGTGGCGTCATACCACGGTATGGCCTTTCGTTGAAACGGACATTCGTTTGCAAATAGTAGACGTGGTCTGTATTTTCCTCGCCAATTAACGCCCTCGGACAAAATTCTAATTGATAATCAAGAAATTAACCCTTTACGGGGTATTCGAATTTCTAAACGTAAAAATTTTATTAAATTGCATTAATTTGTTTAGAATTAATAAAAATAATTATATTTGATTTTCTTATCCTTTATTTCTCCTCAGTGAAAATTACAACATATGAATTGACTAATAACTACATACAGATTTTTTATTGTGTATTTTTATGTTGAATTTTTTTTTAATTGTGTTGATTAAGGTTGATAAATTAATTAATTAACATCTTCCTACTAAAAAGAAAGAGTTGCTGATAAAATATAAATTAGTCCATTTTTTTTATTTTCAAGTAGTAAGTAGTAATAGTTTTTTTTAAAGTTAAACTCAGAGAAATTTAAATTTACACATAGAGACCCTAAATAAATCGTCAAACAATATTTACAGAACCTTCGATGCGTTTACAGTACATTATTACCACTAAAAATTAAAGTTACATATAATTTTAATTAAATCGATTATTAAATTGTAAAATCGTAATAGTAAAATAGCATAATTATGTGCTTTAACGCCTCAAAAAAAAACTGGCAGTGACACCGACTCCAAAAGTTCATTATCATTTCTTTTAATTTGAATACCATAATTTTTTTTGTATAAGCCCTCATTGTATTATATCAAAGCCGATTATATATATTTATTGTTTAATAATCATCATCTTCGTCGTCGAAACCTTTAACTTTCAATGGTCTATCCAGTTTAATAAAACCAACTGTGTAATTTCTTGCCAAGCGATGTGCTGTTCTTATACGACGAACTAGAAATATTAAAATTTTAATTTGTATAAATTTTAAGTCAATTTTCTAACAAGGATTCTAAGCAGCAAATAAGGAACGCAGCACTTACCTTAAAGTTAAGCAGATTTTTAAGCGGGGATAAGCAACAAAAAATTTAAATTTAATACTTACTTTTTGTTCTTTAAAAACACATTAAGAGCTTGTGGATGCCAGTCGAGAAAGGCGTCTTTCTGTAAACATATACACAAAGATTGCAACAAAAAGAAACAATATTTTTACAATCTTTAAACATATTTACAAATAACAACAAAAATAACAAGTTATTAATTTCACCAATTAATTAGTTACTACGACTTCAATTTTTATAACGAATTTTAGTTGTAATATGAAATGAACAAGACCATGTTAATTTAGGTTATTTAAAATGCACATGCTGAGTGAGTGTTGTGTACGGAATTGGGTGTTTATTGTTATTATTTTTAACAATTTTTTAATTAATTTATTTTTTTTTAATTCCACTTTTTTATCCCAACCCCTGAAATCCGATAAACCCGCCCTTCTCTCTTTTTGTTGGTTCAATTGACATCTTTTAATTATTTATTAGAAAAATCGTTTATGAAAAAGCCGGGTTTATATACTTTTTTAAAATAAAGGGAAAAAATTTTAATCACTAAAGCTGAAGTCAAAAAAACTGTTATTTTAGTTCGAGGAAAATCTGAGCTTCGCTTGTTGATTCAGGAGGAGCCGGCTTTAAAGCGGATTTTCCCTAATGGATTTTTAAAGGAGTTTTCGAACCACAATTTTTTTATTTTATTTTATTAATACGCATGGAAATTTTCTTTATTAGTTAGTAATTAAATCGATTTTGTTAGTTCTTTCCAAACCAAGCATAAAATTCCACACATAATGTTCGTTCATTTAAACATTCACATTTTATGTACCTTGTTGTTTATTTTTACTTAATGAGGGGTGTTTTCCTATGATTAAAGAACCGGAACTGTAGCCGCAGAGTCAAGTCTTTTCTAACTGCAGGCAAAACAACAACAAATTCCATCGTAAATCGGTTACAATTCTTTTTTAACAATCAAACGGATTTCAGGGGGTACATTTTACAAAATAAACAAAATCAGAATGGTGTTTTCGATTCAAATGTATATTCTGGTCGTGTAAAAATGATTTTGGCAAAAAGATATTATCCCAGCATCGTCAAAAAATTGCTGGTCCCAAAAAAAAATAAAATAAAAAAATAAAAACACGACACTGTTTGGTTGAATTACTCACATTTGATTTTTAAAAAATAAGAATAGAACATCCGGTATTTAACCGGTTAGTTCTACTTTAATTGGACCCCCACCCGGGTTCAGAATTACCTTGTAATTTGCTTTCATTACCCGACTATCTATAATTTTAATATAATGATAAAATAATAAAAATATTTTGATATAAATGTATCAAAAATAAATGTGCCAAGTCAAATCCTCAAAAATACAAGAAAAATTAATCAATATTTAATATAATAATGGTAAGTATGCTAGAAATGTTATAAACATTGATATAATAAGATGTTTCCAGTCGATTTGAACCATTTTAACAAACTCCAACAATCTTTTTTTATTTATTGTTATCTCAGAACACTTTCAAAAACAACCTAATTCAAAATTTTTAATTATTTCCATCATGATAAGTATCCTAGAGATGTTTTTAGCCGACTTGAACAATTATTTTTGAGGCTAATCACCTTTTTCCATTCTTTGAAATCTTTGAATTTTCTGGAAAACATCTCCCATGACTTCCTTATAGCTTATTTATTTACTTAAAGTAATGAGCAAACATTTTCAATTAATTTGAACCATTTTGACAAACTCCAACAACCTTTTTCTATTTATTGTTACCTCAGAACACCTTCAAAAACAACCTAATTCAAAATTTTTAATTATTTTCATAATGATAAGCATCCTAGAGATGTTCTTAGTCAATTTGAACAATTATTATTGAAACTAATCACTTTCAATACTTTGGAATCTTTGAATTTTCTGGAAAATATCTCCTATGACTTACTTATAGCTTATTCATCTACTTAAAGTAATGAGAAGACGTTTTCAATTGATTTGAATCATTTTAACAAACTCCAACCGCCTTTTTTTATTTATTGTAATCTCAGAACACTTTCAAAAACAACCTAATTCAAAATTTTTAATTATTTTCATAATGATAAGTATCCTAGAGATGTTTTTAGCTAACTTGAACAATTATTATTGAGACTAATCACCTTTTACCATACTTTGAAATCTTTGAATTTCCTGGAAAACATCTCCCATGACTTCCTTATAGCTTATTTATCTACTTAAAGTAACGAGCAAACATTTTCAATTAATTTGAACCATTTTGACAAACTCCAACAACCTTTTTCTATTTATTGTTACCTCAGAACACCTTCAAAAACAACCTAATTCAAAATTTTTAATTATTTTCATAATGATAAGCATCCTAGAGATGTTCTTAGTCAATTTGAACAATTATTATTGAAACTAATCACTTTCAATACTTTGGAATCTTTGAATTTTCTGGAAAATATCTCCCATGACTTACTTATAGCTTATTCATCTACTTAAAGTAATGAGAAGACATTTTCAATTAATTTGAACCATTTTGACAAACTCCAACAACCTTTTTCTATTTATTGTTACCTCAGAACACCTTCAAAAACAACCTAATTCAAAATTTTTAATTATTTTCATAATGATAAGCATCCTAGAGATGTTCTTAGTCAATTTGAACAATTATTATTGAAACTAATCACTTTCAATACTTTGGAATCTTTGAATTTTCTGGAAAATATCTCCCATGACTTACTTATAGCTTATTCATCTACTTAAAGTAATGAGAAGACATTTTCAATTAATTTGAACCATTTTGACAAACTCCAACAACCTTTTTCTATTTATTGTTACCTCAGAACACCTTCAAAAACAACCTAATTCAAAATTTTTAATTATTTTCATAATGATAAGCATCCTAGAGATGTTCTTAGTCAATTTGAACAATTATTATTGAAACTAATCACTTTCAATACTTTGGAATCTTTGAATTTTCTGGAAAATATCTCCCATGACTTACTTATAGCTTATTCATCTACTTAAAGTAATGAGAAGACATTTTCAATTAATTTGAACCATTTTGACAAACTCCAACAACCTTTTTCTATTTATTGTTACCTCAGAACACCTTCAAAAACAACCTAATTCAAAATTTTTAATTATTTTCATAATGATAAGCATCCTAGAGATGTTCTTAGTCAATTTGAACAATTATTATTGAAACTAATCACTTTCAATACTTTGGAATCTTTGAATTTTCTGGAAAATATCTCCCATGACTTACTTATAGCTTATTCATCTACTTAAAGTAATGAGAAGACGTTTTCAATTAATTTGAACCATTTTAACAAACTCCAACAGCCTTTTTTTATTTATTGTTACCTCAGAACACTTTCAAAAACTATCTAACTGAATATTTTAAATAATTTTTGTAATGGTAAGTATCCTAGAGTCGTTTTTAGTTGACTTGAACCATTATTATTGAGACTAATCACCTTTTTCTATACTTTGAAATCTTAATGCATAAAAATAGATGTATTAAAATAAATGTACAGAATCGCACATTTAATTAATTTCAAAGATTAGTTTGGCACTCTACTTTTGATACACCTGTAGAAAAAAAACATTGACTAAAAAATTAATGATTATTATATAACCAGTACCTATTTATCTAAAAATCTTAAAATACCATGAAGGAAAAAAGATTATGGGAATAACAAAAATAATACAAGGAATTCGTGCAATAATAACGAAACCATTACAAAAAAAAAACGAATAATTACCTTTGTTGATGATAAAATAAAAAATAAGTTGTGAGTTAAAAGTATTTCTACAATAAATGACACTTTTCCTTCTACTAAAAGGGGAAGAAAAAAATAAAAAATGGGTTTGAATTGTTTATAACTACAAAAAAATAACCCAACCCAATCTAAAAAATGTTTGGATGCAAAAAAAATTTCCACCCAAACAATATAAAAGAATTTAAATCACCATCTCCATCCCAAATATGAACATAATTCCCAAAAACTATAAATAACCACTTACTTGTGTCGATGTTACGTTGCAAATGTGTCGCGATACGATGACGTGCATCATTGTATTCTAAATGAAGCCCCAGTCGCAAGATCGTTGGGTTTTTCTCAATTAACGACGTAATTTCCATTTCAATCTTGTTACCCAAAACCTGCGATCGTTGATTTGAAGCTCTAAACTCTTCGACAACCTGCGTTTTCAATAACGATTTGATCAATCTCACGATTCCCGTTGGTGCGATAAAGTTTGTTTCTACGTTCACCACTCGTAACGTATTGTTACGTTCGAGGGCTTCAGCCAATTTTTGAGCCTGACGGTCTGTTAAACCGACGTTTGTTAATGAGAGAGTTTCTAAATGGGTGTTATTGGACAATGCTTCGAATAAATCATCGAATTTTTCATCGGAAATGTTCTAAAAAAATTTAAAATTAATGTTAAGATAAAATTAAAAAAATAAAATTACTTTGATGTTATTCCAGTTTAAATCAGTCAATTTTGGATCATCCTGTTGGACTTGTTTGATTGTTTTTTCTATATCTGTGTCATTTGGGGGATCTTGGGGATATATTTTTTGTTTGGATGCTTTCGTTATACCATCCCAACCCATTCCAACTGGTTGTCCTTTGTTTAATAAAGATGCGTGGTATTGATCTTGATTCATCATTGAGTGAAAACCAAGTATAGCTAAATAAACCAATTAATTGATTAAAATTAAACTTTTTTCAATAAAAAGTTAAATTTTACCAGCTAAATCTATAATTTCTTCTTGTGTAGCATCTGTTAAAGCCTGTTCGTACTCATCACCCAAATCAATTGCGATTTGTTCGCTTGCATCTTGTTCTTTTTTAGGTGGTGGAGGTGGAACCCACTTTTAAAAAAATAATTATCCAAGATTTATATATATATGAGGTATAGCTCATTATATGTGAGTAGAATACTTTGTCCACAACTACTATTGAAATTGATTTCATAAATTTATTTTTTTAAATAAATTTTTGAATAGTTTAAACGTCAATGTCACACAAATTCAATGTTACCAACTGTAACCAACTTCACAACAATTTGTCAAAATTAAATGTCAATTTTATGAAACGTTTTTTTACGAAAATTAATTAATTTATGCTTAAATCATAAGAAAAAAGGAATTTGTTTACATTTTTTTAATGTTTACATTTAGAAAGTCCTAAAGATTACATTAAATTGACGTTTTTTGAAATTTTGACGTTTCAAATAATTATTATTCTGTCAATTTGATTACTCGTGAATAATGATTAATTCACTATAAGTTTATTTTTTGAATTTACCTTTTTGCCTCGAACTGTTCCAGGAACATAGGGTTTTAATTCGGGTTCATCAGGCGCCTCAATAGCTTGTTTATTAATGTGTTCAATCAACTGCTTCCGATTAAGGGGCCCTGTTGGGTCCTTTTCGCATTCATAATTACACCTTTGAGATGGTGGTAAGAAACTATCCTACAATAAAACATCCCTTAATTACTTTTATTTTAATATCTAAATTTATTTACATCTGGATCGACTTCTTTGGCTAAAATTTTAATTTCTTCCGCTGATAGTTTTGAAAGTAATTCGTCGACATCTAATTCATCATATTCAGAAATATCTTTTCCATATAATTTGGCTGGTGTGGTCATTGTCGTGGTTTTGGTTGTGGACGAAGTCTGCAAAGTAAAAAGATTATATACTTAAACTAAATTTAACGTAAATTTTACATGTAGAAATGATGAACAAATGTGGTAAACCGTTAAACTAGAACTGGAACAACGTCGAAAAGAGAAAATTTAGTCCGGTTGTTTTTAATTAACGTTAAATTAGAAATCAAATCCACACCCAAACCGCCTCTAAAGTGACCTTAATTTCATTGAATCATCGAGTGAAATAGGCACAGGGGACTTAACAATGGAATGGAAGGAGAAAAACCGATGTTATTTACCTTTTTTGTTAATTTGAGAGGTTCCACTTCCTACGCTTAATCTTAATTATCGTTTATTCTATACGTAACCTCTTTCTGCAGGTTTGAATGACACAACAACCAAATTAATACTTAGAGATAAGATAAATTATGATATATACACTTTTTTTAGAGAATATAACCGAGTTAATGTTTATTTTAGATTTTAGTGAGAAGAGAAATAGGGAAATCGATAAACTCGTCGTGAAGGTTGATTCAGAAAACCAACACCGAGTTTTACTTTAAAATCAACTATTTAATGGAAATTTACGTATTTTATTCAAATTTTAATTAAAACTATTTAAAAATTAACAAATACGAAGTAATTTGTTGATAATTTAATTAGAAATGTGGTTTTAAAATGATGAAATGTCAGTTATTTTATGAAGCAACCTTGGACAGATGTGCTACAAAGTTTAAGGCGTATTAAAAGTAAAAAAATTTTAAATTCAATATATTTATGATAAATGATTTTAAATTAATATTTTCTTTTTAATGCTGTGTTTTAACAAATATAAATAAAATATTTTTTGATTTGGAAAAGCTCGTGTGTTATATTTCTAGGGTTGGTAACGCGCAGAAATATTTGAACATCAAATGACAAGTGACATTGTAATCATTGCATGCTCCAGTTAATTGAATTATGTGAATCCAATCCTAATTTGTGGGATTGCTCGTCCAAAAAGCTATGGATGAAATTTCCAATAAGTTAGGAGTTCCGACTCAAGAAGTGAAGAAACGAAAAACACACTAAAAGCGACCCGACAACAGGAGAAATTTTAAACTTTATGGATTCTTTATGGACCGACATGAAATGAAACGATAATGGATTTATTGGTAAGTTTAATCATACATTAATATATATTTGTATTGCCATGGAACTTCTCTTTCATGGTGGAAATATTGTGTAAATCTCAACTTATAGATTCAGTAGGCCTAATATGATAACGAGTTTGCCGTCCGGTTACAAAACATTGACAACTGTGGAAACAGCACATTCAGAGACTCATAACTCATATATCATGAGAGATAGCTATGTGCTGTGGAAACACATCTCAGATAAATTTGTCATGAAACAAAACCTAGCTGAAGAACAAGTCTTGTAATGATAAAATTCTAATCATCAAAAATATCTTTGAAATTACACTGGTCAAGGTTTAAACTACAAGAAAAAGTTAGTAATGGAACTGGCCAAACTCTAAATCGCCCGAAAATAAGAAATAAATATTAATTAATAAAAAAGAAAGTGTCCATACTCATTACATTACATAGATTGTAAGTTTTCTGAGAACAAGTCTGGAATCACATGTTCACTTAGAAAACACATAACTTTTAATACCTTTTGGCAATGTAACATATATTTCAATTCGTTTCAATGGGATTCTTTAAAAAGATCAAATTCATACTTGGCTAATACCCAATCAATTAATCTTACATATCTAAATAAAAACCAATTTGTAACAGGTTTAAACACAAAATAAACTAAAATAATCATGCCACAGTTACTCATCCTACTTAGAAGAAAAAATAGAAAAATACATATATATAAAAAACAAAAAATAATAACAATAAATAATAGAAAAAAGCCGGGTGCAAATTCATTTTTACTGCGATCGCCCCAATTTCTAACACAACCAGCCTCAGCTTGTCAAATAAACTCTCGGTAGTCACCGGCGTGAATGAAGAAGCGAGCTGGAGGTCACGGGCGCCGCCATCTTGATCGGGAAGGCCACTGGCCGCTGGGGCCGCGCTCTCTATAAATACAGTCGCGCCGTTTCAAACGGATCGCCAAGTATAGCGCTTTGGGACAGTGCCAAGAAACTGTTCCGGACTGCCATGCCCCCCTCATCTCTTTTTTGAGCTCAAACTTTTTTCCCGCATTTTGAAAACCACATACCAGCGCCATCTATTCGCCAAACGTGTTAACTATATTACAACAAATAATCGTTATCATATACATAGATCTAATTATTTCTTTAAAATCATGTATATTGATGAATTTTGAATTTGTTTTAACGTAAATCAAGTTCCGGCAATGCAGTTTTCATCAAAATATTTACTGCCTTAGATCTAAAAGTGGGTATTTGTTTGTGGATTAAACGTTTCCTGTTACGTTTTAACAATTTTAACACCTGCTATTATAAGAAATAGATTAATAATTGCTAAATAGATTTTAGTAGAGTTAGTTGGCTTGTGTACTGTTGAAAACTGGACAGGATCATGTAAAACTCGTAACACTTTGTCATAGCCATAAATTTGGTTAAAACGGGCGCCAAAAGCAATTGCAGAGAGACATCTATCAGGGGCGGTCGAAAATAGACGGGTTTCCGCCGCAAAACGCGCGCTGTTGCCCTTGTCCTTAAATTTCCGCCCGAACACCTGGCGATATTTTTAGCTTCTTTTGCGCGATATTTACCAACAAAGTGCCGGCGGAGAACGGGCCCGTTGACAAATGTGGCAGAAATATAATTGCCAGCCGTGAAATTAATTTTAATACGCTCCGCGCGGAAGATGTTAAAAACTCCTGGAAACATTCCAAAAATGTTTTGTTCGAGTAGTTACATTACTAACCTATTACAAGATAACAATTTTTGGAATCACCTGTTGTCGTTTAGTTTTCTAAATTTTATGAAACACCCCAAAACAAAAATTTATAAATATAAATACATTTATTTTCAAAATTTGTGGAATTTGTACAAAAGAAAAGACATGTGATGCTGACGTTATTTAACGACAGCCAGAGAAGCAATCGAAAAGCAATTTCGATCGCTCGCGGTTCAACCACTTCCAGAACGCTACTATTCTTGGACGCCAACATCTATTTATATGCGCAACTCGGCCGCTGCCACCGATGGTAGATGGTAGTGAACCCAACGTTTGAACGCTATGCAAAAGGATCATTAAAACGATGGAACGAGGAACTATTCCATTTTCGTTTTTGTTCAAACTAAAGAATCATTTGAAAATATTACCATGTTTAAAATTAAAACATATGAAGCAAAACCTTCTCAACAAGTTAAGATATGCCACAATGACACAGACAATGCATTGCGAACGTTGCCAGAGTAAAACAGAAAGTTAACGAAAGCAAGCCATAATGATACCAACAACTTGGCATGTTTCTGAGAAATTATTAGAGTGAGTCCAATTATAAGTCTTGTTTAAATGAGGATATGTAGTTTTTCGCGTATAAAATTCAAAATTGCGATTTTATAGTTTTGAAATATATTCATGTAGATGTTGGCTTCAAAACGGCCTCAAGTTATAGTTAAAAGACCCTGAAGAAGTTTTGAGTTTTGGCACGTAATAACATACATCAGAAATCTAACTTATCACGTCTTTGTGTGACGTTAAATTAAAATTTAGAACAAAAACAAACCGATAAAATACCAAAAAACCTTGCACTTTTGCTTGTTATTTATAATAACGCTATTTGTTAACATCTCAACTTGGCTTCAAATTCTCGTAATCAACAAATAATATAAGACGTCTTTGATAAATATAGAGGATTTCTTCAAAATATTACCAAGTTATTCTTACACCCAACAAAAAATATCTTAAAATTTATAAAATTTCAAAAACATTTGTACACCTTGGCACGTGTTATTAACATCTAAAATTCGTTTTGTTTAATAAGCCGTGTAGATATCTATCATCAGTTCATAAAAAATATAGCGGCCAAATCGTGCCAAACACACTCATCTTATCCGCGTAAAAAACGCACGTCATTCCTGTCTACCATGACGTCAGATGTCACCTTTACAAAAACATTCAAAAACATTAATCTTTAAATTTTGTTTATGTATGAATCACACTTCAATTTACTTTCATTATTTTATTTATAATAACTTGTGATTCAATTTTGACACTTATAATGTCATTATGTTTTAGTTGTCATTTGTGAATGCTACCAACTTAAAGTTAGTTACAAATTATTTCAAGGTCATTAATTATTTTCAATTTACTCACAATTGATTCTTAAGATCTAAAAGGATTTTATGTCTTCGTGATTAATGATTTGAATTTGGGTTTACTCCTTCTCGATGACATTAATTGCATTGATATTATGGTGCCCTTCATGTATACAATATTGTTGATAATAGGTCATTGTTACTATATTAGCAAGTATTTGAGTTATTCTGGTATTCCTTATATATTAAAATCTAATGAGTGTCTAACGAGTTGTCTAAAGTGAGATCTTGCTGGAAAAGACGAAAATGTAAAATGCCCATGAAGGTTCAGAAAATAAATAATTATTCATATAATATTAAGATGTTTCTTTTAGAACAGATGCTTTACTCTAGAACTAAATGTAAAAAATTTAGACAATTATCTATAATAATACAGATCCTAATTCAACAGCCACAAAATGGATTGCTGGAGAAGAGCTGCTGGAAAATCTAGATTGGAGAGGATTAGAAACGAAGATGTAAGGGATATACTGAACTTAAGACATGACATTGTAGATGACAGCCCAAACTCGATGTTAACAAAAAATGGGCCAAGAGCGACTACCAAAGAAAGTTCTGTCTGGACACCACAAGGAAGAAGATGAAGAGAAACACCACGGTAGAGTTGGAGAGAAAGTATTAATGGAGAAAGAATTATATCTTAAGTTATGTAGTAAGTGAGGATAAACGATTTCTTTGTGTTGTACATTTGGCTTATTTTCCAAAACAATAACCTTATTGGTACGTAACTTACTGATACTGGTACTTTATATTGCAGAGCATCCTTAAATCTTTATGGTGTTCTTGATATCTTGAAGGAAAAGTCTCTTTTTACGTTTTTATGGAGTATAGTGTTAGTCAAGTTGTGCAGATGATCTTTCAATGAACCCATTTAAACCAATCTTACGATTAGACAAGAAACCGATGGCAAAAAATATAATTCCACAATGACTTCTTTGCTCCTCGTTTCAAAACTGAGTTACCTCGAATTATTGCAACCTCCACTTCAATTTTTTTCAAAACTGCAATTTGATTGAACTTTTATATCTGTGTGTTTACCAAGATTATAAATACTTATCCAGCATTTGATTGAGTTATCGTGTTTATACTCATATATACATACATAGAGACAATGCTAAAAATAGTCGAAATTTATAATCCTTTTATAATTATTAAATACTCAATTTGATGTAAAGTTCTGCTTTGTACTTACTTTTATAATCGTCATTGCTGCTTCTGTTGCGTTCTGACGATAACCATAAATCTCGAGATCGATTTTTTGTACGATTGCAAAAATCCCTCATAATTAATCTTTATAGAGAAAGTAAAAAGTACATAAAAAATTCATTATAATTGGAATTACGCGCGAGTGCAGAATTGGATCAATTAAATCTTTTTGGCAAAACAAACATTTAGCTTCTAATTAATTTAACAAAATCTGATTATCTCAATAGCATCTATAAATAACCACAGAGAACCATGTGTTTTAATGGAGCCTCGTCATCTTTGTTTATAATGACGTCAATCGAATATGTTAAGTAGTGTCACCTTTAGACAGAATTATGAGCGACAATACCAGATGTTGCGTTTGGAATTAAACGCACGAGCATGAATCATTCGTTTGGAAAAAAGGATCATCTCTTTTAATTAGGGAGGAAGCCCTCTGGCGGCGTTTCTAATTAGACCAAATAAACGTTTTCTGATTTATTTCGTTTGCTGCGCCAAATTTGATTTTGTGACATACGCATAAATCTTAAATCCGTTGGGATCGAGTTTGCTTTAGTTTAGGGGGTATTGATGAAAAGATGTGAAAGGGGAGTTCGGCAAAGCGTTTTTGCGAGACTTTGGATCGGCCTAATTTATTTCTAAAACTACGCGATGCGTGTG